CAGCTCTAGCTCACGTCTCACGGACAAGGGTGTTGAGGAAGATCTCATTACGTACAATCCCCGTGTTAGCATTAAGCCATTGCTTACAGATTTCTAGGAAAAAAAAGATCCGCAAATACCGTAATACCATTATGCAGCTTCCCCACAGTGATCCTGAATGCTGCTGAAAGGAACACCATGTGCAGCCGTGCAAGTATAAAAGCCTGCACGAAACCAGGCGAGCACTAAAGCTGCACTATTCCAACGTGTATGTGGAATGAGCAGCAACTAAAACCACTAATGGTGACATTGTTTGCAGCTGGCTTATCAAGCCACTATCAAGCTTTAACAAGATGATTTTTAGACAGGCTATGCCCAGCAAAAAGGCATGATTTTGGAAGCGGAGAAATGCTAACAGAAACACAACAGCACGTTACTGCTTTATAACGTGAATGTTACACAGGAAAACGAAAGGATAAGAAAAATATAATTCAAGAAGAAAATGGTAACCATGCTTCAGATATAAGACACAGTTACGCATATGCATCAGTGCTCTTTCTTTCTCCCTATGCTTTCAGTACACAGCTAATCTTTTCATCTGCTTGGTGTATTTCTAGTGTTCTGCAGAAAAATTCAGGAAGTTACAAAAAAAAGCCAAAACATCACAAAAATTACAAAATCACACATGCATATGTTTGTAGTCTTCTCTCTCTAAATTTCACATTAAAATGTGCAGGGTTTAGTCGCTTAACTGAAACACAAGCTATGCTAACATCTTCTAATCTATAGTTAACCTGCTGTGAAGAGTAAGGCTAGACAAAAGATTTTTTTCACCCACGTTAGGAAAATATTCTGGCAAACATTCCTGCAAGAAAATCTTTATTGTACCCATGCTTTCAAGGGCACAGAGGACTCTGTCAAGGTTCTGTTTTATGAGAACAGAATGAAAATAAAACATCAAATAGTGCTCGCCAAGGGAGTACCATCCATCTTGTTATGCATGTAGGGTGAATCTGGTGGAAAAAATAGCATGTGAGTATATAATTACAAACTGTACCATGATATATATGCATAAGAAGGGTAATTAAGGTTGCACAGGCACCATTCTTCTCTGACTTTTAAGGACTTTGTCATCCAATCTGAATAATGTCTTTTACCCTGGGTTTGGGTGAGGGGGTGCGAAGCAATAGGGATGAAAACAAGCTAATCATGAACTAATTACTAATTAATTTTCTAAAATTGCACAGGCACAAAGAGAAATTGCTCCCGGAGGCCTAAAGAAGAAGTAGGAGTGACCAAAGAAAAAAAAATCAGCTGCTCTAAATAAAGTCCATTACATTTCCTAATGACAAAGGCTAAGTGTAAACAAGTCACCCAAAAGTCAGTAAGAAAAAGCTGAATTTCTTAAGTTATTTAAGAGAGCTAAACAAGGCTGCACGATCTCCCAGCCTATGCAGCAGAGACAAAAAGCACAGGCAGAGAGTACGAGATTCATGACCTATCTCTGCCATTTGTATTATTTCAGTGCCAATGTAGTTCATTTACCTAGCAACAATAGTCTTCAAAGTGCTGCATAAACATTTATGTTTCCAGTATCACCTCTCCTTCTCCCTTGTCTGCAAGGGGGTAAAAAGTAAGATCCTTTCTAACAAATGCAGAAAGGAACAAATGGGAAAAAAGAACAAAAGGTTTTCAATGGTCTGGCCAAGGCCACAGAAGAAGTGTCCAACAAAAGTGGGATGAAAGCCCCTGTTATATTCCACTGCTATTTAGAAGCAGTTAAGGAGTGCTTTGCTCAGCAGCACATCCTTACAGCCCGTACATCCACAGACCTGGAGGTAGGCTGGGCTGCAAATGCATTTTAGTGTCAATCAAGAGAAGGCCCAGCCTGTAAAAGAAAACAAGTCCTAGCCTCGCTAGGACATGCTGGAGCTTAATTCATGCTCCTCTAAAATTTATGTGAAACACAACATCAAAAGGTGGCAGTGGATCAGAAATGATATATGGAGTGTCTGATAACTGCTCCCGTATATGGCCAAGGGTTCGACACAACAGTGATTGCCACGCAATTTCTTGCACAGCTTTCTCGGCAACCCCCGCCCCGGGAGGCCGGTACCCCCTTGCAGGCGGAGAGCAGAGCTCCCCCGCCCACCCCCGGCCTGAGCACCCGCGGCCGCGCCGCGCCGGCTCCCTCGGAAGGG